AAAATGAGGGTTTAGGGTAAGAATGAGGGTTTAGGGTTAAAATGAGGGTTAGGTGTTGAGGGAGGGTTAGGGATTAGAATTAGGTTTAGGATTAGAGTTAAATTTAGGGTTAAAATGAGGGTTTAGGGTAAGAATGAGGGTTTAGGGTTAAAATGAGGGTTAGGGGTTGAGGGAGGGTTAGGGATTAGAGTTAGGTTTAGGATTAGAAGGAGGGTTGGGGATTAGAGTTAAATTTAGGGTTAAAATGAGGGTTTAGGGTAAGAATGAGGGTTTAGGGTTAAAATGAGGGTTAGGGGTTGAGGGAGGGTTAGGGATTAGAGTTAGGTTTAGGATTAGAAGGAGGGTTGGGGATTAGAGTTAAATTTAGGGTTAAAATGAGGGTTTAGGGCTAGAATGAGGGTTAGGGGTTAGAATGAGGGTTAGGAGTTGAGGGAGGGTTAGGAATTAGAATTAGGTTTAGGATTAGAAGGAGGGTTAGGGATTAGAGTTAAATTTAGGGTTAAAATGAGGGTTTAGGGTTAGGGTTAAAATGAAGATTAGGGTTTAGAGTTAGGTTTAGGGTAAGAATGAGGGTAAGGGGATAGAATGAGGGTTAGGGTTAAAATGAAGATTAGGGTTTAGAGTTAGGTTTAGGGTAAGAATGAGGGTAAGGGGATAGAATGAGGGTTTAGGGTTAAAATGAGGGTTAGGGGTTGAGGGAGGGTTAGGGATTAAAATTAGGTTTAGGATTAGAATGAGGGTTAGGGATTAGAGTTAAATTTAGGGTTAAAATGAGGGTTTAGGGTTGGAATGAGGGTTAGGGTTAAAATGAGGATTAGGACTTAGAGTTAGGTTTAGGGTTAAAATGAGGGTTAGGGGTTAGACTGAGGGTTAGGGTTAAAATGAGTGTTAGGGGTTAGAATAAAGGTTAGGGTAAAATGAGGATTAAGGGTTAGAGTTAGGTTTAGGGTAAGAATGAGGGTTAGGATTAAAATGAGGGTTAGGATTAGAGTGAAGGTTAGGGTTAGATCTTAGAGTTAAATTTAGAGTTAAAATGAGGGTTTAGGATTAGAGTGAGGGTTGGATTGCCCCTAAACCTAACCCAAACCTTCATTGAAAAGATGTTTCTGAAAATGAAAGATGAAATGCAAAATAAAGTACGGGGCTTTCTTACTGAAGCAAATGAAAAAAAACCACCAATATTGATCTACTTTTGAGGCAAAGAAGGCTAGAATGGCATTTTAGCGGTATTTATACTTTGCTGGTTTGCATAGAATGACTAGGAAATGTGCAAAATATTAAGCCTTTCATATTGTTACATCCTATTTTTGGCATTCTATAGGTTTCAAAGGCTTCTTATAAAATGCCTAATTTTCACACACTGCTGGTGACATATATACCAGCTGATTCTCAGTGAATATAATGAATTTGCTAGATTGTATCTTTGAACTGTGTTTTCTACTTGCAGGGCAAAAACCTTCCAATATTTTGAAGAGAAGGGATTTTAACATTCCGGGCTATAGCCGTAAACTCAATCCAAGTCAACAGTCTGCCATCCAGGAGGCACTGAAAAAGTCCTTCACTCTAATCCAAGGACCACCAGGTGAGGGATCAGCCTCCTTTTTATGACCCTGTAATCCCCTATATTCGGGGGAAAGTCGGGGCAATTGGATGAAGCTGAGCATTTGCTGGCTGCCTGCCCTTCCTGATGCCTGCAACAAGTTCACAGCAGATGTCTTTTCTTTGCACCTTCATTCATTTCATTTCATTCATTTATTTCATTTGTATGCCGCCCTTTTAACCCGAGGGGGACTCAGGGCGGCTCACAACTTGACAAGGGGAAAGGGGATAAAAACAGTTTGACAACAACACAAAACAATACATAATTTAAAAAGCACAACAATCATACCATTCGAGATAGGGGCAACGATTCTTTAGCCCCAGGCCTGTTGGAACAGCCGGGTTTTAAGGGCTTTGCGGAAGGCCTGGAGGGTGGTGAGGGTGCGAATCTCCACGGGGAGTTCGTTCCAGAGGGTCGGAGCAGCCACAGAGAAGGCCCTCCTCCGGGTAGTCGCCAGTCGACACTGGCCGGCGGATGGAATTCGGAGGAGGCCTAGTCTGTGGGATCTAATCGGTCTGGTGGAGGTAATTGGCAGAAGGCGGTCTCTCAAGTACAGAGATTGGGAAGAA